GTTTTCGCCTCTCCCCCCCCCCCCCCCAGACAAACATTGGTTTAGTTCTAAGTCAGAAAAAGGCATAAACAAGGAATCTGTTTGTGTCCCTGTGTGCAATCTATACCAGGGGTCACCAACATGTTGCCCGCGCGCTCCAAGGAGCCCCCAAGGACTGCACAAATAGCCCGCAGGCCTGTTCTAAAAATAGCTCACACGTGATAGGAGATTGTCCTTTTCCATGAAGATTTTCAAAATGATCATTTTAAGATATCAACACTGGAAGGGGTTCATAAAAATAAAGTAGGACTCATTGATTGATATTTATCTGTTTCCTAATTATTGTAAGAAATCATGAGCGTAATCAGTGTCTTTCTATAAATGCAGATAATGAATTATTAGTGAGAGCATATAATAATAACGTTATTCAAGGTAACATGAGCAAAGCTGTGATTTCAGAAGCGTGTATCAAACTGGTAGCTCTTCACAACAATATCTGTTGCCAAGAAGGAGCTCTCACTTTCAAAAACGTTGGTGACCCCTGATCTCCACTCATGTTCAGAACTCCAATTAGGCTACGTTTTGGACTCCATGGCAACCGTACATGTGTGTTCCCGTGCAGAATATTTTACGTGACAGGTATTTGTTGCGATTCGGCGACAGCACATAAAAGCAGTATATTAGATTGTGGCTCTGTTTGGCTACACTGGGACTTTACGAACAAGTCTTTCTTCATACTGTAAGCTACAGCGTCCTGCGTGTTGACAGGTACACAGAGCAAAGTGACTGCGCCTGTGTTTGTGATTGACACAAGCTCGCGTGTTGTGGCTACACAAACGTGCGGTTGTGACAATTACATACTCATTTGTGAGCTTATTGCCTTTGGCCTCATTTAGCTTTAAAAGTGAAAGTGTAGTCTCAGGTGAAATACACAAAACACTTTGCACAAGTCGTGATTACTGTTCCAAAGAAAATGACACGGTACACAATCTGTTTATATGTCATGTCGAGTCGATGCTCATTCTTCCTGTTGCCTACGTCTATAGACTTCTGGTTTGATTACAGGAGTGGCAACTCAAGACCGATAGAAAGGTTCGCACTCTGCTGGAAGCCAGGACAAAAAAAAAAAAGGTTCCTTTGTTACAGGGAGCCATGATGAAAGAAATCGATTGATTTTGTTGTTGTCACACTCCTTCAAAAGTGTTAAAAGCTTAATGTAGAGCGATGGGGGGGCCAAATTATTCAGCACAAGATAAAAATCACTGCCGTCCGAAATGTTCGACAATATGCATGTGGTTATTTAGGACGAGCGCTCAAGACTATTTCTTTGTACTGCTTTAATACATTCACTTGCCTTAGATTTGTATTATTGTTGGTTTTATTTCATGATCTCAGCCTAACTTTAGCATCTTCTCAGTTTAATCGTTGTAACGTCACACAAATTTGTGGTCATGATGAAGGCACTCAACATGACACAACATCAACTCGCCATTAAATCAAATGGATTTCCTTTAGTCTTGTGCGTGTGTGTGTAAAGTGCCCAAATGTTTTTACTCTTTGTTTTCTGTGTATGTCAGACCTATAAAAAGATGACTTTCATTCTTTATTTTAGTCAACAGTTTTTTTTCCTGAAGATTTTGGAGGGGCCGGACACTAAAACCGACCCACCTGGAGTTTCATGCAGGTGCAAGTGTCCATTATTGCGTTTGAGAATTTGGCAGATGGCTCTGCGCCATGCTGAGTCTACGTTTTAGCGCTGATGGCGTAACGCTATTTTGGTGAATTTGATCAAGATGCAGGTAGACAGATTCTGAGCTCCGCGGATTTGTGTCATGGATGTGATTGTGATCCTGATCATTTTGATTCTCTTTTTTAAATTACCCACCCTAGCCGCAGCGCAGTTATGATACCTTAAAAATTACCCCCGCTCACAGCTTTGGTGTGGCTGGGTGGGGGAAGCCGATCACACACCAACACAATCGATCAGGGTGGAAGGCAATCTCCATATGCCCACCGCACAGCAGTGATCTGTGATCATCCTGGCCAACTTGACATCATCCGCAAGTGGAGGTCTGCTTGCAGCTCCTTATAAAGGTACCTTGCACACATTGATCTTCCGCATAGACTCTGTCAAATCAGTTCCTACTTCTGCCATGTCAAAGACTGCACACCCAATTTAAAGGGACTGAGAGGAGACTATTCCATTGGCCGCCAAGATAGTCGTCTGCGTCCACGCCCACAACAACGCAACCCCCCCCCCCGCGTGGTTTCAAAAACACCAAAACAAAGTAGATGCCACCCATGCACACAGTTAGACCGCGCTCCGTACAAGACTTGCGCTCGAGCCTATAGCCATGCGTGTTATTTTACTTAACATCATTTATCTTCTCCACAGCGTTCAATACATCAAAAACATCAGGGGTCTGGTCATGGTTGTCTCCTTCTTTTGTGTGTGTGTCGAATGAGTGAGCGAGAGAGGCAGAGAGAGAGCAAAGCAGAGCACAGATTCCACCATGACACCACCTGAGGCTCATCTTCTACTTCCTGACCATGTTTTTTCCAATCCCGTGTGCCGCTGCGCCCCGTCGGACAGAGTGAGTCACATCTTTTATGTTTGGCCATGGAAAGCAACTCCTGTGGCGAACAGAAGCACTTCAAACAGCGTGACCTTTGTGACAGGCTACAATTAACCTAGTGATGTTCTCAAGAAGAAGAACCTCTATGTCCTCAAGAAGATAGGTTGTCACGATGGGGCAGCGTAAAGCTACATTTATGACCACCTTTCATCATATCGGCATCACCTTCTCTCTCTCACTCGGTATCGCCTTCTCTTTCTTTGTCACAGTGGTCCAGTGTTGATTTGGGGTTCAGATGTCAGCTCAGGGGGGTTTCTTTGCCAAGTTTTTGTCCTGTTCATGGGCATGAGACGATTCCCCCCCTAATACAAAAAGCTGTTTGGTTTATGAACAACTCTAAGTCCAATAAGAAACAAAATGCAAACAGGAAAAGATTATATGAAATTTCACTTCAACCCCTTAGGAAATAGCATCAATTGTCTTGTTCCATGTGGGAACCTTTGTCGTCACCCCATCATATTATCTAATTCATCTGATTCTAATATATTTATTGTGGTTTTGAAAAGTAGTCATGTAAAAATTGTGGCAAGCTTTCGCGGGCACTTTAGTGAACGTCAGGAATGCTTTGAAAAAGTAAGAAATAGTCTGAATACCCTGAGAAAAAAACACGCAAGGATAGGGAGAATATGCAAACTTCACACAAAGCCCCCCACCCCTCCGAGTTGAAATTCAAACTCCAAACTTTCTGAGTCAGATGCGCTAACCACTATCCCAGCGCGCTGTCATGACACGTAAAACTTTTTCATTTCAAATGTCAAGGAAATAAACGCAAACTCGCTGAAGATCAAACTTGCGAATTTGATTGAAATGTTCAGGCCGGCCGGCATTCATCAATTCTGCACCTGTAACGCAGTTAAGCGTAAAACCGCTAGGGGGTGGTCTTTCACCACACAAACTCGACGAGTCAACGTGACTAGCCTTCCTGTGCGGAGTTTTGCACGTTCTCCCCGTGCCTGCGTGGGTTTTCTCCGGGTAGGCTAGTCCGGGTTCCTCCCACATTCCAAAAACACGCAGGGTACGTTGACTGAACCCTCGAAACTGTCCCTCGGTGTGATTGTGTGCACGAATAGTTGTCCGTCTGTGTGTGCCCTGCGATCGGCTGGCACTTTAGGGTGGGGTCGGGTAAAATCCAACACCTGGCAGTTTAGGGTGTACCTTGCCAGTTGCCCGAAGACAGCTGGAATAGGCTCCAGAGACCCTCGTGGCGATAAGCGGAGCAGATAGATGGATGCAATATTATACTTGAGAGTCAACTGACCCCAAGTGGTAGTTCACGCAAACAGCACAGACGTGACAGACGAGTGTTGCTCCTTTGGACTAGTAGCCTACATTTCCCATCAAGTCTACAGGGAGGGCCCACATTTTTTTTTTCTTTTCTGTGCTTTCAGTTTGCACTGCATCAGCTGGACTAGGACGCGCAGCGGCAGCCTCTGTCACTCTCCGGGCGAAAGTACACTCTTTTTTTTTATTTTGATTTAATACTTATTCCAAAAGCGTTTGATAAATATTTTAGAGTTTTAGATCAAAATTATCGGAAAAAAAACTGATTGGTACTACTACGTTCCTAAAATAGTTATTCCAAACAATTTTTAAAAAACACATTAGAACGCGTTTTCCCCCTCCTTTCTTGGAAGACACTTGTGGCTGATACGCGGTGGGAGTTCAGCATCGGACTAAAGCTCTTTAGTTGGACAGAACAGCTCGCCAACGCCTTTCTGGACTCCTTTACAGCTCGGCGACTCTCCCCGCGACCCATGAGCCGCTGAAAAAAAAAGCACCAGACGACGACATCGAGGAAAAGTAGTTCGAAAGTCACAATGGGCTGCACCATCAGCGCCGAAGACAAAGCTGCCGTGGAGAGGAGCAAGATGATCGATAAAAACCTGCGAGAAGACAGAGAGAAGTTATTGAGAGAAGTGAAGTTGCTTTTACTCGGTAAGAATCGTTTTGTACTTTGACGCAACACGTCTTACCTCAGTAGAATTGGGGGCCAGTGCGCTATTTGCGCCTTTCAATGAGATTTAAGTACAGTGCGTTGGTGTGGAGCAGATGTTTCTTCATCTGTTGAGATTTGATCGACGTAAACCGGATATTGGTGAGGTGTCTGGCAGAAGTAGGCCACAACTAGCTGCAGTCAAATCTGCACTGGACGCTTCTGAGTCAAAAGTTTCCTGAATGACACATCCAGTGGTGCCTTGACTTTCGACTTTAATTCGTTCCGTGTTTCGAACTCAGTATACTGATATATAAAGCCAAATATCCCCGTTAAAAAAATGCTATTTTCACCCTCTTGCACCCCCTCCTCCTTAAAACGGGGTTAGGGTTAGACACGGTAATAATAATGGTTTGAATCATGAAACTAATACTGTATCATACATGGGCGTCATTAGGCCTATTTTAGGGAGGCTTCAGCCTCCCTAAAAATGTCTTTAGCCCCCCTAAATAATTTCATTGCATTATTTTAAAAAAAGTATTATTTATTTTTCCTGTACTTTTGCTAATATATTGCATCAAATTCAATGTAATGTGGCCATTTTAAATTATATTTCGATAACCTGCCATTATTGTAATGTTAAATCTCCCAGGTTTCCTGAACGCAACAGGTGTTGCGTT